CGTAGGTCAATTTGACCGAACCACGTAAATTTTCTGTGTTTTTTATTTGCTTTGTTATCCGTCTTTATATGGTCGGTTTTACCGCCTAATTATTATATGGCTGGTATCTACCGCCTATCTATTATATGGTCGGTTATACTGCCTAATTTGTGCTAACTTGAGTTTGTCTATTTCCTGGCCCGGTCCTAACAAACTGGTATCAGAGCTGGTTGTTATATTTTGCAAGACAGGTTCATCTGGTGGGGCCCGTTCATCTGGTGGGGTCCGTCCATCCTGTGGGGCCCACTCATCCTGTGGGGTCCGTTTATCCGTGGGGCCCGCTCACCTTGTGGGGTCTGCTCATCCCCGTGGGGCCCGCTTATCTCGTGGGGCCCGCTCACCCTGTGGGGCCCGCTCACGAGTCTTGCATATTTGTTTGGCCAAATTTTTGAGACAAATTTTAAGTTACTATTTTTGTGGTAACAATGACGATAACAAAGACGGTTGTCGAGAAATTCGACAGGAATGTCAACTTCGGAATGTGGCAGCTGAAAATGGAGGCCATTCTTGTTCAAGACGGAGTTGATCTAGCGATTCACGGAATTGAGAACAAACCAGAAGATGTAAAGGATGCGGATTTCGCCGATATGGATAAGAAGGCCAGATCCAGCATAATCTTAAATCTCTCCGATGAGGTATTGCGTGAGGTAGCAACGGAGACTTCGGCCAAGGTTATGTGGGATAAATTGAAAGCCTTGTATATGAAGAAGACAGTCGAGAATCGGCTATATTTGAAGCAGAGTTTGTACATGCTTCGGATGTCTGAAGGTACATCTATACTCATCCATCTTGATAAATTTGATTCCATTATTATGGATTTGGGGAATATAGATTCGAAAATTGATGATGAAGATCAAGCCCTATTACTTTTGTGTTCCCTTCCCCAGTCTTTTAAGCATTTCCGTGATACTATGATTTATGGAAAGGAAACAATTTCGTATCGGGAAATTAAATCTGCATTAAAATCTAAAGAGCAGATAGATAGGGATATTACTGGGGAAACTAGTGGGAGTCAAGCCAATGGCTTGTTTGTTCGGGGTAGATCTGAAAAGAGAAACATAGAAAATAGAAGTAGATCCAAGTCCAGGCATAAAAATGTGGTGTGCAATTATTGTAAAAAGAAGGGCCATGTTATCTCTGATTGCTTTAAATTGAAAAATAAAGAAAAGCAAAAGGGGAAATTTGTTGAGAAAAATACTGAATCCGCTGAAACTAGTATAGCAGCTGATGAGAATGATGGAACCATTTTCTGTGCAACGGAAAATAATTTTAGATCTAACAATGAGTGGATTTTAGATTCGGGTTGTTCGTATCATATGTGTCCCAACAGGGACTGGTTTTCAACATATGAATCAGCTGAAGGTGGAGTTGTCTTAATGGGCAATAACGCTGTTTGTAAAGTTGTTGGCAAAGGCACAATCCGGATTAAAATGTACGATGGTATTGTGAGGACGCTCACAAATGTTAGACATGTTCCAGATTTGAAGAAAAATCTCATCTCTTTGGGCACTCTTGAGTCTATAGGGTGCAGGTATTCAGGTGGAGATGGAGTTCTCAAAATTACTCGAGGAGCTCTTGTTGTTATGAAGGCACACAGATCTGGTATTCTATATATTTTGCAGGGATCTACTGTTACAGGTGCTGCTGCTGTTTCTACATCAACTTTGTCTGATTCTGATTTTACCAAATTATGGCACATGAGATTGGGGCACATGAGCGAGAAAGGCTATCTATTTTATGCAAACGAGGTCTTCTTGGTAGTCAAAGTATTGGAAAGATGGGACTCTGTGAACATTGCATTTTTGAAAAGCAGAAGAGAGTTAGCTTCCAGTTGCCGGCAGTTCACAAGACAAAAGGAACTTTGGACTACATTCATTCAGACCTCTGGGGGCCTTCTCGTACTTCTTCTAAAGGTGGTGCCAGGTACATGTTGACTTTCATTGATGATTATTCAAGGAAAGTTTGGGTCTATTTTCTTAAGCATAAAAATGATGTTTTCCTAACTTTCAAGCAATGGAAAGTTTTGATTGAGAAACAAACAGGAAAGCATATTAAGCGGTTGAGAACAGATAATGGCATGGAATTTTGTGGAGGTGAATTTAATGAATTTTGTAAAAATGAAGGAATTGTTCGGTATCACACCGTCAGGATGACGCCTCAACAAAATGGTGTGGCTGAACGTATGAACAGAACGCTTTTGGAGAGAGCAAGATGTATGATCTCCAATGCAGGGTTGACAAACGACTTTTGGGCAGAGGCGATCAATATGACCTGTTATATTATCAACCGTTCTCCTTCTGCATCTCTTGATTTCAAAACTCCTGAGGAAGTTTGGTCAGGTACTCCTGCTGATTACTCCAATTTAAAAATTTTTGGATGTCCAGCATACATGCACGTGAATGATGGAAAATTGGAGCCTAGGGCTAAAAAGTGCATTTTTCTTGGGTATGCTTCTGGGGTGAAAGGATACAGATTATGGTGTCCTGATCCCAAATCTCCAAAATTTGTGATCAGTAGAGATGTTACTTTTGATGAATTGTCTATGTTATCTTCCAATAAGGAGTCTTCCAGTCCTTGTACTACTGATTGTACACAGAAGCAGGTGGAGCTTGATATTGGCAGTTCTGGTCCTTCTCAGACCAAATCTTCTATTCAACAAATGCCAATAGATGCACTTGAGTCTACTGTGGAAGATAATTCAGAAGAAGAGGAATATTCCATAGCCAGAGATAGACAAAGGAGAGACATTCGACCACCACAAAGATATGCAAATTTAGTTGCATATGCTTTATCTGTTGCAGAAGAAACTGATGCAGTTGGTGAGCCTTCCACCTATTCAGAAGCAGTTTCTTGTAATGATTCTGCAAAGTGGTTGATTGCGATGAATGAAGAAATTGAATTTCTTCATCGTAATGAAACTTGAGTTCTTGTAAAGCCGCCGTCAAATAAGAAAATTGTTGGATGCAAATGGATTTTCAAGAAAAAGGAAGGTATTCCAGGGGTTGAAAATGCAAGGTATAAAGCACGATTAGTTGCAAAGGGTTATAGTCAAGTACAAGGTGTTGATTTTAATGACGTGTTTTCACCTGTTGTTAAACATAGCTCTATTCGTGTTTTGCTTGCTTTAGTAGCCATGTATGATTTAGAGTTAGAGCAGCTTGATGTTAAGACAGCTTTCTTGCATGGTGAACTTGAAGAACAAATTTATATGAAGCAACCCCAGGGTTTTGAAATTGAAGGTAAGGAAAACCATGTTTGCTTATTGAAGAAATCCTTATATGGATTGAAGGAGTCTCCAAGACAATGGTATAAAAGGTTTGATTCCTTTATGTTGGGTCACGGTTATTTGAGGAGCATGTATGATAGTTGTGTTTACTTCCGGAAGTTAAATGATGGTTTTTTCATTTATTTGCTGCTTTATGTTGATGACATGCTCATTGCTGCCAAGAATTTGTCAGAAATTCACACTTTGAAATTGCAGTTAAATAGTGAATTTGAAATGAAAGATTTGGGAGCAGCTAAGAAAATTCTTGGCATGGATATCAAGCGAGATCGAGGAGTAGGGAAGTTGTTCTTGACCCAGAAAAATTACCTTGAGAAAGTTTTGGAGCGTTTTGGCATGAAAGATGCTAAACCAGTATTTACTCCTCTTGCTAGCCATTTTCGGCTATCTGCTGCTCAATCACCACAATCAGATGAAGAGAAAGATTATATGGCACGGGTTCCTTATTCCAGTGCAGTCGGCAGCGTTATGTATGCAATGGTTTGTACTCGTCCAGATATCTCACATGCAGTCAGTGTTGTTAGCAGATATATGTCTTGCCCTGGTAAAGCACATTGGCAAGCTGTGAAGTGGATTCTCAGATACTTGCGAGGTACTTCAAATGCATGTTTAGAGTTTGGAAGAAATAATAACACTTTGGTTGGTTTTGTAGACTCAGACTACGCTGGGGATCTTGACAGGAGAAGATCACTTTCAGGTTATGTATTTTGCATTGGCGGTTGTGCTGTTAGTTGGAAAGCTACTCTACAACCTGTCGTAGCTTTGTCTACTACTGAAGCAGAATATATGGCTGTGACCGAGGCAATCAAAGAAGCCTTGTGGTTGAAGAGTTTATTTAGCGAGCTAAGTCTATATCAAGGTGTTACTGATATTCACTGTGATAGTCAAAGTGCCATACACTTGACTAAAGATCAGATGTATCATGAGAGGACGAAACATATTGATGTGAAGTATCATTTCATTCGGGATATCATTGCTGAAGGAAAGGTCCTTATTCAGAAAATCAATACCAAGGACAATCCAGCTGACATGTTTACGAAACCTCTTCCAGTTTACAAGTTCAAGCAGTGCTTGGACTTGGTTGGTGTTCGTTATTGGTGATTTAAGCCCATTGGGGCTTATGTGGAGAAGGTGGAGCAGTTTTACTATTGTCGATGGTGGGATTCCAAATTTTGCCAAGGTGGAGATTTGTTGAATTGTCAAGCATTGCGGCTTGACTTGTGTGGCAAACATTTCCATCCCACATCGATGGCAGCCAAGGAAAGCCTTCCGTTGTTTTCCTATAAATAGGGAAGCGTATGAAGGTTTAAGGTGCACCACTCAAGAGAGTTATATGGCCTATTAGTTTCTTGAGTCATTTAGCCCATTCAGTCAAATATTTTAGGCTCTTTTGTTTTGAGTTTAGGAATATTTTCTAAACTCTTTTGTAAGTGCCTATTGGCCTAGGAACCACTTTCCTACGGTCTTTTGTATTTCTTCTTCATAGTAGAAATATTGCTCCTCCCTCGCCCGTGGACGTAGGTCAATTTGACCGAACCACGTAAATCTTCTGTGTCTTTTATTTGTTTTGTTATCCGTCTTTATATGGTCGGTTTTACCGCCTAATTTGTGCTAACTTGAGTTTGTTTATTTCCTGACCCGGTCCTAACAACCACCAAGCTTGATTGATTAGCCAATTTCAGCGAGAGAGAATCCACAGCGGTGGGGGCATCTTTTTGTGCAACGGATTTGGAACATAATGGCTTCTAAAACTTCCATCTCGCAAGTCAAATATGGCCATGTCATGAGGCCCATCCGGGTAAGCAAATTCGCAATAGTCATCGCTGTAATATATGGAGTTTGGTTGACATCCCACCACCTCAGATGCCAAAACTGACGCGGATTGATTGTCGCCTAAGAATATGGAATCATCTCCTAAGTTCTTCACCTCCTCCCTTCGTCCATCCCTCATTTGTATCTTGTAAACTTTAAGCTTTCCAGTTGAAGGTGCCTCATTTGAAGTTGAAGGCGCCTCAGTTGATAGAAGTCTATTAACCATCAACAATTCTCCGCAGGAAGATTCGACCAAATAGGCTCCGGCTTGAGCCATAGTTGCCTCCTCTTCCTGCTGGCTCTTTACTCTCCATCGTGCAACCGTCCCTATTCTTCTAGAGGTAGTGTCTACAGAAACGATTCGACCAGGCATCACCCAGTTGTAGCGGTTCACAACGCACATTCTTCCTTCGAAATAAATTACGTCGCTTGCACGAAAGTGGGATTTTACAACTTTGCCAACTGGCACAGGGGTCCAAGCTTTGTGACCAGCTTTCAGGAATGCTAAGTCATTCATGCCACCATATATTGCCACAGCCTCATAACCATCAGGATTTCTTAGAGGGTCCGCCGACAAAGCAACCTTCCTAACATAATACTCAGGCTCGTACTCGTCCTCGGGCTTAAAATTTTTGACAAGGGGAGGGAGATTAATTTGCTTACCAGAGAAAGGATGGTAGAGAATGATGGCCAAATCATCCATGGCAAAAGCCAACCACCCGTGGGATGAACCGCAACATCTTCTGTTGTATGGTACTGGCAATTCCACGCCAGTATTTTTGCCTTGAGTAACGCTGTAAAGGCTACGACTTTTGGTGCTGCCATCTCTTGCCGGAATCATCAACATTGGGACTTTGCTACAACACGCCTTGTAGGTGTTTTGCGCCATGGCTACCCAAAGCCAATGCTTGCACACAGAGCCAAAGCGTACATAGTCGACAGGATAAATCAACTTGTTGATAATTGAATCCAGGAGAAGCTCTGGAAGCCATGCCCAATCTGCTCCTTTTGTCCCCATGGCTGGCTTTCTATTTAAGCTTGGTATCTAATTAATTAGTTTGACGCACAAGACAAATTTATAGTTTCCCAAGGAAGAAGAAAGGAAATCACCCAACTTGGTGGGATGCTAAATATGTAGCATTAGTTAATTAGCCTTGTGCGCCCATTATTTCCTTTTTTTTTTTTTGGTCTTGAGCAACAAAGTTTTTTTTTTTGAGTAAATTGTGCGCCCATTATAGTAAGGTTAATTCTTTATGCACAATATAGTAATTCTTTGACACTTGCAACTATAATACCTAGGAAACCTTTAACCTCTCTTTTCCGAAGCAAAATATTCACTTTCCATTTCCAATTACTTTTCTTGCCGCATAGAGAAATCCTAGTATTTCTCTAACTTACCCCAAAAGAGAATTACTAGCGTACAAAGAATTGTCCTCAATCAAAGAGGAATAAAATAGCTGAGTTTAATATGAATCAATGGAAGCGACTAAAGTATTGGATGAACTTACCGACGTTGAAGTGCTTAGAACACGGACGGACTGTTGAAAAAAAAATCTAAGAGCAAGACATGATCATTCTGTTGAATTATCCTCTTCCAATCAACAGTAACATTCCAATGGAAGATTCAAGGGAAGGGCTAAATCCACACTCCTCGTACTAAATCCACATCTCATGCACTCATTAGACAACAATGTCCTTATTTGTTAAGTTTATTTGATGCTTCTTGTAGTTTCAAGAAACATATATTGACAAAGGAAAAAAAAAAGAAGGGGAAAAATGTTTACATCATAGAATATTTTCAAACATTTTACAAGTGCTTAAGAATATTAATTTTTAATTTGGCAACCCAAAATTTTCAATTATGAATGTAAATACATTCCAAATCCATAAAATTAAAATCTTGTCAATTTTCAAGGCGGAACATACAACCATAATGACTTCTTCATACTAATATATGTCATTGGACTATGCATAAATTAGTATTAAAAACAGTACTACAAAACAAAGGTCGTAGGCTAATAAAAGGAATGAAAAATCTTAAGCAACTTCAAAGAAACATAAATTTTGAAATAAAATAAGCAAGAAAATAAATTTTTGTACAAAACTAACATAAAGATTATGATATATATATATATATATATATATTTGTTCTTTAGAAATGTATTGATGTTTTGATAATTTAAATGCCATATAAAGTTTGGGTTTAATGTATAAAGTTAAGGACATAAGCATTTGATAAATATGTAAGCTGTGGAGTTAGTTTGTAGGTGTGTGGGTTTAGCTCCTTTATTTAGAGATTAGGAGTTAAGATATTTAGAGAAAGTCATATGTGTCATATAGATAAGCATTTTCAGCGTTATAATATTAAGTATATCTTTTATACACTGACAGTACATATACTTATGGATCTAAATGCATGCCATGTATGTAAGATTTCGTATTCAAATTCAAATTGCAATAATATGACATAGATATAAACCTGTTAGTGTATATATTAACAGTATAAAAAAGATTAATCCTACATTATTTACTTAAAATCTAGTACAGTTGAATGCCATGTTAAATCTCCCTACCTAGTACATGAGAATTCAAAGATGACTTCAACCTACTTTTAGGTACCTTTTTTTCAGTATGGCAACATTGCTGGGCAAAACCCAACACTGCTGGGCAACTTTTATCTTTATGTCAACAACAAAAATCCAACACAACACAGACAATCCGTTAATTACTTTGGGAACTAAACAACACCCGCTTAAAATTCTGTGCCATATATATCACTTTCACAAAACATGTTTAGATAGATGAATCTAACAGATTATGTTTGATTAGGTAATAAACCAAGGAATTCTGTTCTTCAGATGATAAAACAGTATAACAGTAATTTTGTGAATGTCGTTTGGAAAAGTCATAGAAAATTTGAAAACCATTTCAACCATAAGACCCAAAAACCATGCTAAGACCGTAAGATGCTAGATTGTCAATCATCTGCACTTACGCTGTCACATTACAAAATCTTTCATCATAACCTCAGAGGACTGTCATGCGAAAATATCATTCAATGTCTAGAGAGGACTATTATAAATTGGATAAACAAAATACTACCTCTAGCATTCCCAAGATAAAACAGAACTATATTGAACTTTCTTTGCATTTCAACGAACATTCATCATAATTTATTATCTAGAATTAAGTAAAATTTCAGGTAAAAACTGTAAAAGACAATAAAATAAAGCAAAACTCTTTCCCCAATCCCATGCCGCAGAAGAATTGTGATTAATTTCTAGCTGTCGAGGTGTATAAACATATTTAACAACTCAATTGTCCAAAAGAAGATAACTTCTAAACCCGGTATATGGAAACGAAAATTGTGCAGAAGCTTCAACCAATGAAAGGAAAAGCAGCAAAGCAGCAGCTGATCACTTCTTCAAAACCCCCCGCTTCTTATCAGAATCTGCTGCCTTTCTCTTGTCCTTTCTTTCCCTCTTCTTCAATGCAGTCATGCGGGCTTTCAGAATGGTCGCATATGAAGCTTGGAAACGCTGGTGATCTTTTTGCCCAACCTAAGATGCCCCATGCATAAATGTAAAGATCAGTCTGCAAGACAAAGTTGTAACACTTTGACCAAAATGACAAAATATCTGAACAAGTAACAAAGGAACAATTACCCAGCAAGTCGTATAAAAAAAAAATTCATTTATCAGTGCAAGTAATTAACTCAACTGCACATTTAGCAAGCATAACTACTAGGATTGGAGTAAAAGGACATGAGAAAACTTCTCCAGTGTGTTTCCATCAGTAGTCATGCTTATCAGTACTTGTTCTAATGCCCATTCTTGTTTATGGGAGTTGCCAGGATATTCTGATTTCCATAGATGCAGAGTTATCAGGCTTCTCCACTTAACATGATCCACTCAAATGCTGAAGGATGCATCACGATGATTTATCAGCCCTTTCTTTTCTCTTCAACTATGTTCTCTAACCATACACTGCTAAACTATTCCCTTGAGAAGGGATAAATGGAAACCCAACATAATCATCTGCTGCTTCAAGTAGAAAAGAAATATGCCAGCCCTACTACAGTTAAAGCTACCAAAGCTGGAACAACTCAGAAGTCCTCCAAACCTCTACTACTTTATAAGCAGATATTTCTCAAATAAAGCCAATCCCATTGCGTCCTTTTATCTATGACTTTTGGCCTACTTAATCTGATGTCCAACTGCTTTGAACATCACCTTTGCCTGCTTCCTGTCCTTAGTTTGTCTTCTAAACCTTACCAAGAATGACTATGATGGCTAATAAAGAGTAAGCATGAACATAACATTATATGGCAGCCAAAAATGCTTCTTTTATAATTTTGCCTCGCTTTCCATTGACTTAAGCTCCAGCATGTACCTATACCAAAAGCAATCCCAAACAGAATGTTACATCAAACATGCTTTCTGATGCAATTATTTAATTGATCCTGGAGTGGATTTTATTACCAACAAGGCTACCCCATTTCAGACTTGACAAATCCACCTTTGCTATTGTGATTCCAAGACAGAAAAGATTATTAACTCATTCTCCTTAAAGCATCATCTTTCCCAAAGTGCTAGTTAGTTGCATTACTTTCTTGAGAGACCATAGAGCGAGAAACTCAGACAATGGCTAGCAGCTTAACTAGTTGTATATTTCCACTTTTTATATTTTTGGGTGCAGCAAACTCTCTAGTATCAACTTCGTAGTAGGGCTATAACAAACCCACTTTTCAATTATAGAAGTCAGCAACTTTCAATAAAAAATGTGTCTTCTTATTCAATTTTCCCTTCTTATTCCTTGAGACAATTATGGGAAGAAGACTCAAGGCCCACCAATCAAACCCCACAAAAAGCAAGACCAATAAAACTCAACAAATAAATCAAAATTTGAAATTAAAACAGGTAAAAGTAACTGTGCTTACCAAAGTAGATATAGTCTTTTTTCCATCTGTAGCTCGAATAAGACACTTGTACTCAATTTTCTCCCCAGCTGTCTTCATCTTATTCCTTTGGAGCTTAGACTTGTCAGAGGCTGTAAATTCAATGTGCATCAAAAGATTAGAACAGCTTGCTACAAAACAATTATACATGATACCAAACGTGAGAAGACCAGGAAAGACTAAAACAAGATATTGGCAAAGAAAGGAGTAGTATCAGGCAAAACAAAAGGTTAAGAAAACAAAAAGGACATACAGTATTTAAGTGTCACCCAGACAGAACCCTTTTCCGTGCTTCGCTCAAACATGTTGGTGAGTTCATTAAGAAATGGGTCTGGTTGTAGACGGACCTGAAAGGAACCAATCAACAATGCATCAGTTAAAAGTGATTAGATACAGAGCAAGGATTCAGACTATAAGAAAAGAGTCACAGTTAAAAGCTTCTAATAGCTACAAATGAACCACGAATGCACAGTATTTGGTACACAAACAATTAAAACAATGAAAGAAAATCATCACATACACAACTCTTGACATTCTTCACAACCACACATGGAGAAAGTGGAAATGCTACAATTAACTGTATCAAGCACAGATACACCATGAAAACTTAAGGGAAAACAAAAAAACAGATCTTGTACTAAACTTATATAGCATTACAACATATTGAGCCTTATACTTGTCAAGTGGCTTTGAATTATGCATCAATTGCTCTTTCGAATTGCATATTCATGATTTGTGGCATTAATAGTTTCTTTGTCAAAGAAATAAGACCAGAATATGGAACTTAAGTAATATCATAATTGTCAGCATATTACATGCCAGACATACCTTGGAAATGTTATTTGGTTGACTAGCTCCTGATGACATCCTGGACAAATGCAAAAAAGTAGCCACATATATCCATGTGAGTGCAGATAAAATGGGCCAAATGAACACTAACTTCAAAATGCCTAAATTAAAAAATTCCAAGGAAAAATATCTTAACATATGAAAGTAATGATAATCATTGTGTCTCAGTCAATTTGCATGTTTTCTGCATGCTAGAATCATTATGATCTTGT